TTCGCCAGAAGCTGTGGAGTTGGCGTACGCCGATATGAAATTATCCCTTCTAAATCGGTATAGGAAAAGCATGTTGGCTACAAGTACCATGCTTCTATCATCTGGACTTACTCAAGAGGTCTTTTTGCCCAGTGGCGACGTTAATATGGAGGCAATCTTCCAGTTAGAATCACCAATATTCAATGCTAAAGCAGAGTACTACGGAAAGATGCAATTTGTCTTCTTACGTGAGGATGTAGGGCGTGATGTCACTATTGTTGTGGAAAGCACCATGCTACTTGCGGAGGATGTTCACCTTCCTCAACCTTTGGCCACACTTGATGTAGTTTTTCGGAAATATATATCCCTAAATGTGCGCACAGGGGACACACCAACCTGGTGGCCCATAAGGATCGCCAAGTGTGTTTTCCAGATCCTCTTTTATGGTCCTTTAAAAGGGTCCCAGATACTTCATCGGATGTATATCGATGCTACCGCTGCGCCTTTCCCGAGGATCGATCATGAACGTGAGGTAGCTGTCACTGTGAGCCTCTACGAACGTTTTACACCTCCCTTATCACTTCAGAGCCGTCTGCGAGCCATGAATATTACCGTCTATCAAAACCCTGACGAAGGGTCTTCCAACTCATTACAGCGCGTCAAATTATTACGCATGACATTTTATTCCTTCCTGGAGCTCCGCGGCGTAGTTGGCTGGTTGGTGCGTCACCCTGTGATTAGTTATGTTTTCCTGACATTGTTTGTATTTTTCATTCTATGTGGCGTGACATTCATTGTTTGCGCTGTGCTGGGTGTTGTTCTCTACCGTAAGCTTAAGTTTAGGACCCCAGTAACGGGGGGTGCTTTTGTTTTAGATCCTTCCAAACCTCGGGGTCGGAAGAAACACTCGGTGGAATCACATCGCCGGCAAAGGTATGACAGAACAGGTGAAGATAAAGCATTGAACCCTGTTTCACTTGAGTCGGACGAATTCCGCCGCTTTGTCTCATCGTACTATTCTCTGGACTCATCTGATTCTTCAGTGGAGAGGCAGTCAGGAGGTCAGAGCTCAAAGTTCCCCAAGGATCAGTGACGTGCCCTATAGTGTCAACTAATCCAGAAGCAAAGAGCTAATGCTCTGAAAAGGTGAAGTATGAAAATCAATCAATGCACACCCATCAGTTTAGCACCAACTCTTTTCCTGGCTACATTTTATGACTCCCCACATCTTACTGCGTGTGAAACGAGGCACTCGACCTCTGTGATGGTGTCGATGGACCGCATCATAATTTCTTTCTCCTTTTTCTATATAAACAACCCTTGTGGTGTTGTCATCTTTTTCAGTGTTTTTTTCTTCATAATATTGTATTTTTTAAAGTAGAGCATAAGGTAATCCAGATGGATGACGAGTTGTTGCTGCAGCTCAATGAACCCGAGGACTACGGGGAGATGGCTAACCCAGAGGGAGAGCAACGAGAGGAAGAGGATGACAGTTCCAACATTCTTGACAGCGAAGATATTTGGGAAGTGATTTCCTCCTTTTTTAGAGAGAAAGGCTTGGTCCACCAGCAAATTGACTCCTACAATGACTTCCTGATGCGTATCCCGCGGATGGTCCGAGAGATTGTGGTGATTCCGATGCAAGATGAACAGTACGATCCCGGCATGGGTCTGGAGGAGGAGCCCGATCAGCCGCGTTTCTCGCTTGAGGATGTGGCAATCGGCAACCCTTCGCATGAGCTGTCCCATTACAAGCAGAGCAACGCGCCACCGCTCTTTCCAAATGAGTGCCGTCTGCGTGACATGACGTACGATGCTCAGGCCCAAGTCGCCCTCAGTGTTCAGCTCTACCGTCCTAATGAAGACACACCACGCCATACATACCTGCAGAACATCGAGCTTGGCCGTATTCCTGTCATGCTGAAGTCTATGCGTTGCAACCTCGAAGGAAAGGATGAGGACGAGCTGCCGCCCCTCAGCGAATGCCCTCATGATCAAGGAGGGTACTTTGTGATTAACGGTACTGAGAAGGTGCTCATCGCACAGGAGCGTCAGGCCGCCAATCAGGTCTACACTTTCTCAAGGCAAAAAGGACTGCTTTGTGAAGTCAAGTCAATCGTTGAGGGTTCTTTGAACAAGCCCCGGACGCTACAGATAATTATGCAGTACAAAAGTAAGGGACCTGGTGGCGGCTTTGAGAACTTGGTTTGCCGCGTCGCCCAGATGGATGAGACCATTCCGTTGTTCGTGCTCTTCCGTGCCATGGATATGGTGACTGATAAGGAGATTTTGCAAACCGTGGTGCCCGACTTGAAGGACACTGCCATGTTGGAACTGCTGCGAGGCTCCATCGCCGATGCGAGTTCCCTCAGGATCTTCACCCGGGATGAGGCCCTCGGTTACATCGGTCGCCGCCTCGGTCGCCAGGACAGCATGTCGAATCTGAAACAGGAGGCAGAGAGCCTTCTGATGCGCGATCTACTGCCACATATGGGCACAGATCCTTCTGCCAATCGCAATAAATGCCTCTTCATGGGGTATATGGTACACAAGCTTCTTTTGGTTGCACTAGGCCGACGTGAGAGCACCGACCGAGACTTCTTGGGCCACAAGCGCATCGACGTTGCAGGGGCTCTGTTGACCTTCCAGCTCCAGATGTACCTCTCGCAGGTGCGGAAAGAAATGATCAAGACGTTGCGGATGCGCTCAGCAAGCTACCGCGACCGCTTCAGTTTCAGCAGTATTCTTCATAGCAAGCTCATTACAGATGGGCTCCGCCGCTGCTTGGCGACAGGCAATTTTGGAGACCTGAGATCTGGGAACATCCGAACTGGTGTGGCGCAAACCTTGAATCGGCTAACATATTCTTCATCGTTGAGCAACCTACGTCGGATACAGAATCCCATTGCAGCGTCCAGCAAGGCCACGCGTCCACGTAACTTGCATTGCACTCAGTGGGGCTATATTTGCCCTGTGGAGACGCCCGAGGGGGGGTCGATTGGATTATTGAAGAATCTTTCGCTCATGTGCCTCATTTCCCGTGGTACGGACCACATCGATGTGGTTCAGACGGTCCAGGCGCGTGTCAACGGATTTCACTCAATAGGGTTTGAGGACATGGCGGACGTGCGGGTTGCGCGCGTTTTTGTGAATGGATCGTTAATAGGTGTCGATCGCAACCCCGAGCGTCTGCTGCGCGAGCTACGCGCACGTCGCTGCAACGGCGAGCTCAGCAACGAAATCAGTATTGTGAGGTATATCCGTGATCGCGAGGTTCGCGTCTTCTCTGACGCTGGACGTTGTCTCCGTCCGCTCTTTGTCGTTGACAGGGGCCAATTGAAACTACGCAAAACTGGTATGGCTGACCTACTGGAGCCGTCAAGGGTGGCGAACCGCAAGCATGAAATCTCTTGGAGTCGTGTGCTTAAGAAAGGGTATGTCGAGCTCATCGACTGCGGGGAAGAAGATTCCTTGCTGATCGCCATGACTCCAAACGATGTTAAAAATAATTACTACTACTCGCATTGCGAGATGGATCCCTCTATGATTCTTGGCATCTGCGCGTCCATCATTCCCTACCCTAACCACAATCAATCACCGCGCAACACGTATCAGTCTGCTATGGGTAAGCAAGCCATGGGTATTTACGCTTCTAACTTTAACATGCGCATGGACACGACTGCGCACGTGCTGCTCTACCCACAAAAGCCGTTGGTTCGAACTAAGGCAATGACTTACATGCGTAGCAACGATCTCCCGGCTGGCCACAACGCAGTAGTCGCCATTGCATGCTATTCTGGCTACAATCAAGAGGACTCCATCATCATGAGTCGATCTGCTGTCGAGCGCGGCTTCTTCCGAAGTGCTTTCTGGCGTTCCTACAAAGTAAAGGAGGAGCGGCAGAGGAAGGATGCACTGGAATCGTTTGAGATTCCCGATCGCAACATTTGTCGCATGAAGCGCGCGGACTACTCCAAGCTGGATACAGACGGACTGATCAAACCTGGGATGCCGGTGATGGGTGGTGATGTGCTTGTGGGCAAAACCGTCCCCCTTTCCGAGACAGACCTCGAGCGTACATCGAACAACAACAGCCGCATCACGAAGCGCGACACCAGCGTCACCTCGAGGACGACGGAGAAGGGTGTTGTCGATAAGGTGATGCTTACCCTTAACAACAAGGACCGCTACACAAAGGTGAAGATTCGCACGATCAAGATACCCAACGTTGGGGACAAGTTCTGTAGTCGTCACGGCCAAAAGGGCACCAACGGCATCCAATTTCGTCAAGAGGACCTCCCTTTTAACCGCGACGGCGTTGTGCCTGATCTCATCATCAACCCACATGCCATTCCCTCGCGTATGACGGTTGCCCATCTGATCGAGACACTCGCTGGAAAGGTGGCATGCTACAAAGGAGGGGAGGTCTACGCGACACCGTTCTGCTCGGTTGTTGTCGAGGACTTCGGCAAGGCGCTGCACCAGCTCGGTTCCCAGCGGTATGGAAACGAGTGCATGTACAACGGGCACACTGGCCTGCCACTGGACCATCTAATTTTCTTTGGGCCAACGTATTATCAGCGCCTGAAGCACTTGTCAGAGGATAAGATCCATGCCCGTCCGCGTGGTCCTCTCCAACCCCTCGTGCGTCAGCCAACCGAAGGACGCGCACATGAGGGTGGGCTTCGTTTTGGCGAAATGGAGCGTGACTGCATGCTTTCCTACGGTTCCTCACAGTGGCTTCGAGAGCGCCTCTTCCGTGTCAGCGACTACTACGCCGTGCATGTGTGTAATATATGTGGAACGATTTGCGTTGCCGACACAAAGCTCCACAGATATCAGTGCAAAGGGTGTGACAATGACACACGAATCTCGCATGTGCTTATGCCATACGCGTGTAAGCTTCTTTTCCAGGAGCTTATGTCTATGGCTATCCTTCCTCGCTTAAAGACCGGACCACTCTGAGCTTGAATCGTTGATCCACTTTTCCTTTATGCAGTATCGGTACGAATGCACCGACTGTTGTCGGATTTAACCTGTAAAGGCAGGGGCAAGTCCCCCTCGAAAACAAGGGATTTAGTCGATTTTAAGCTTTAATTTTATGCTAAGAAAGTTAATTTTCTGCGATATACCTGGGGGGAGGGGGGGGGGGGGTTGAGAGGCTTTTCCTGTTTCAGCCACTTTGTTTAGTCCTTTGAAACGTTGGTATGGAGTGGTCTTTTCGGATTTCATACCTGCTGCACGCTGCATACTTTTTGTCTTCCCATATTTCTCCATATCCAGACATTATGGACCCCCAACCTAGATTAGGATGAGTTCAGCAAACTTGACACGCTCGCTTTATCGTAAAGCTCTACGGATTATAGCAACAGTTGTGCGTGCTAATGCAACAAAGGTGGCAGCTGCACGTTGGGCAGAATTTATTCCGTCTTGTGTGAATGTTGACCATGGCGATGATCTTGCAGTGATTGCACGAAAGTGCTTCGTGACGTCAGCGAATTCTCCAGCTGTGATTACCAATGCTTTCATTTTTTTGAAAGAAGCCTCTGAGTCTGTCTTTTCAATCGAGGTGCGCGCGTTATGGGAGAAGATTTTGTATTCAGAGGACTGTGATTTAGTGTCTGCAATAGGCCTAATAAGCGCTTCCTTTGAAATGGTCGGCACTGACCTCGCATTAACGGCCTCCGTTGAGACACGCTCAAAGGAGTTTTCGACTTTGATTGAGCAGCTTATTCATAAAATAACCATAACTGTGATGGAGGAGGTAGATCTCAAGCGCAATTTTAGAGGTACGCGAAAAATATTAGAGCAGGTGCACAAAATCATAGTGAAGGAGACCAATATTTGCCGAAGCGACGCAGAAGCAAAGGACTATACCGCTCTTTCGCTTGTAAATCAGTCAAGGTGCTCTGAATACATACTGAATGTTGTTCTTTTTACCGTCTTGAGAAATATGGGGTTTGCATGCTTTCTTGTGGGCAGTGGCTTGCATTTTCGCTGGATTCGTGTGGACCTTTTCGACAAAGGTCGCAACCGTAGTCGTGTCGCTAAAGTTTTGTTTGTTTCTTGGTCCTATGGGGTGAAGAAACAAAAGGAAGTAGAGGCCCTGATTGGTATCACCAACACCCAGTGGTTTAGACGTGTTCCCTGGGATGGTGAAGCTAGGAAGCATGTGCTTTGCGAGCTGTTGAGGAAACAATTGTCCTCTGCCTGTGGGGACACCTCAGACTCCGCCACCGAGAACGCAAGGCGGTCCATCTGCAAGGAGCAGATATTGATTTTGCTCATGTGAACGTATGGAGCATATAAAGAGAAGTAGCTACTTTCATGGATACAAATCAGCGTCGTTCATAAATCGTATTCCGCTACACAAATGAATTCACCTTGAGACGTTATACGTAGCGGCAATGCTTTGATTAACCCTCCAATAACACTGTCACTTTCATCAAACCATTTCTTACTGCCTTGAATAGTCACACCACTATAAGTATAACCGTTTTGCTCTAAATTTGAAAGCACCTTTTATACAGACGCACGAATTGGTATTCCGTTTCTTTCGCACAGTTTAACTTCAAACAACATGATCGGCATTAAAGTGAAGTGGGGCAAGAATGAGTATGATCTCTCTGTGGACGAGTCGAGTACCTTTCTGAAGTTAAAGGAACAGCTTTACACCCTTACTCGCGTTCCAGTGGAAAAGCAAAAGATTATGGGCCTAAAGCCCTCAGCATTGGGTAACGGGGCCATCCTTTCGCAACTGGGGGTGGCAGCGGGCAAAACACTGATGCTAATTGGCTCTGCGGAGGGCACTGCCATCCCTAAAGTCGAGGCAGCAGCGGTAGAGGACGCCTCTGGGGGACACAGTGAGACGTCTGCCACCTCAAACGGCCTCCGGAATATCGCCAACACCTGTTACTTAAATGCCGCCATCCAGATGCTGCGTTCCATTCCGGAGATTAGACAATGTCTTTCCCAGTACTCTGGTAGCAACCCGCTCCTTAAGGAACTAGGCACGTTATTGACATCGATGGAGGAAACTAAAGAGGCGGTATCCCCCCTCAGTCTTTGGAGCACACTTGTGCAACTTAACCCCGTCTTCGGTGAGCGCGATGAGCATGGGATGTTTATGCAGCAGGACTCGCAAGAGGTACTAAACTTTATTTTGCAGCAGATCGATGCTGCACTACCGCCATCTTGCGCGAATCTCTATAGAGGCAAGATGAAGCAAACGATGGTCTGCACCGAAGACTCAGGCGATCCAGGAAAGGTAAGTGATGTGCCCTTCACCATGCTGACCTGCAATATTTCAGGTGAAGTACAAATGCTTGAAGCAGGTCTGGAGCAGGCCTTTAATGAGCAGCTGAATGCTAGCAACGAAACATTGCAGCGTGAGGCGTCTTACTCTAAAACGAGTCGGATCAGCAAGTTGCCGGAGTACGTAGTGGTGCATATGGTGCGCTTTTCTTGGAAAAGCGATGTTCAAAAAAAAGCCAAAATACTTAAACCCATCACGTTCCCCCTCACACTTGATCTCTTTACTCTCCTCACGGAAGACCTGAAGCAAGAACAAAAGCTGTGCCGTGAGATGATAATGAAGCGCCGAGATGAGGAGCTGGAAAGACGTAAGCGCAGCCGCAGCAGCCCAAGTCCGACTAGCGACGATGCACCAAACATTGTTGATACTGTTCCACAGATTTTGTGCAATGAAAGTGGTTTCTACGAACTATGTGGCGTTATTTCCCATAAGGGGCGTACTGCGGAGGCTGGACATTATGTATACTGGGGGAAAAAAGGAAACCAATGGCTTGTTTTTGACGACGATCACGTCGCGGCTGTGTCTGAGGATGACGTGAAGCGACTTCGCGGGGTTGGTGAGGCGCATATTGCCTACGTGTTATTGTATCGCAGCCGGGATCCGGTATCTCATCGTCCTGTTATTCCTCTTTAGAGGTAAGCTGCTAAGAGTTTAACGTATATAAATTCCTTCTCTTGGATTAGAAGGATGTAGTGGGTAATGTGAGTGTTGTTCGTTAGCTTCATCACCTCGAATAAGGGGGCAGGGGAGGATCCCAGGCGGTTTTCAAACAAATGAAAATAGAATTAGTGATAAACACCAGTGCATCTGTTTATTGGTGTGATACAGATATTAACTTCACACTAGCTGGGCGCCCTGGCCAGTCCCTATGCCAAATTCAGTTTCGTAATGGGGGGTTTACTAGGAAAGGCATCCAAAGGGGCTTGCTAATCGTGGAAAACTGGTGGTGCGAGGGCGGAGATATGCGTAAATTTCTCAAGGAAAATTGGACCTGACTAAGGGCTGGCTGCATTACCTGCGACAGGCTTAGTTTCCCCTTGCCCATTGCATCCTTGAGATATGTTACTTGGGAAAGTATCGGCTGGCAAAGTGCATTAGCGAGCCGCTTCTTTTTCTCTGCATACAGTAACTGCGTCCTCGTTATGAGAGACTTGTGTGTGCTAACCATACTTCTACAGCGGTGAAGGTCCTGCGTCAGCTGGAGTATTTGGACGGTTAAGGTAGCAGTACTCACTCTTATGTAATGAACTTGTGCTCCTCGAGGTAGAGGAATCCTTCCACCACGTCAATCCAAATTGCTGAGTTAGTAATTACAGCATACCCTGTTGATATAGCCATATCGGAATGGGAAAGTTCCAAGGCAGCCAGAACACGGTCGCTTGCCTGTGGTGCTGACTGTACACTCCTGTCAAAGCCCTCTATACCCTAGGATCGATTGTCAACGTAGCGTTGCAGTATTACAGTAGTGGGGGCACCACATACGGGACCGTCAATTATCGCTATTTTTGTGCCATTTAACATGACGTTAGACATCCTTTTGAGGGTCTGCTTGATATTTATGGGATTAGTTATTGCGTTATTCTGCCTTGAAACGGAATTCCAGTTTTTTATTTTTGTATTTCTTTCAACACTAACCGAATACGTTAAGCAAAAAGCAGGCTCACCCCATGCCCGAGAGGGTTCCATGGACGGTAACCAAGTGAGGTGAATGGTTTCTCAAGAATCAGGATGTTGTGAATGTGTTTGGTATCAGTGCGCCATCACAGGGGAAGAATGACCAGGGAGGCTTGAGACACTGGTGGTGTGAAGCTTATTGTATCCATTTGCTGAAGAGCTGTTAGACTAGATACCAATGGTTTCCTGTTCCTAGTTGCATCGGGTTATTTTATTTTTCTTTGAAAAATTGACTGTTTTCATGATGCTCAAAGGAGTCAAATACCCTTAAAGATGTCTATACGTATAAACATATTCCAGATGGAGTGGAACGTTTGTACAACCCAGACGAATATCATAGTCTTTTGTATGAATTAAAGGATTCCATTTTCTGCCTCTTATTAGTTGATTATTGTTAACTCCCCAAACGAAAGCATATTTTTTAAATACATGATATGCCGTGATCAGATTCAAAAGGTGCCTTATTATCACAGCTACTCTTTACACACAGATGAATTACGTGCTCATCTTATTATGGGTCGGAGCGCTGCTAGGGTTCCCTGTTTCCCATGCCGTTTCTCACTTTCCACCGCCTCCCAACAAGACTAATTTTTGTGATTACGGGATCCAACTTGAATGGACGGCACGGCTAGGCGGCAGTGTAGTTGCCACGCCCCGCATCGTCGACTTAATGCAAGAAGGGCGGAAGGAGATTCTCATCCCTACCTTTTCCTATTACTTTGAGGCCCTTGACGGTTTGAACGGTGAGAGCGTCCCTGGTTTTCCATTCGCTCACCCAAAGTTCAAGACATATGCCACCCCGCTTCCAGTTGACATCGACGGTGATGGGCGCACGGACTGGTTAGTTGCCATGTATACCGGCGAGCTCATGGTATTTACGCAAGAGGGAAAGTCCCTTGGTACTGTGTCTGTTCCACCACTGGTCGTTAAGAAGAACTGGATGAAGCTTTCAAATGCAACTCTTGACGAAATGGTCGGGAATCAGGCTTCACAATTTAAAATGGAAGGCCGAAGGACATTACGAGAGATAGGGAGGATCAGGCGCGTTGTTGATTTGACTATGAATAGAACAGGTCAAGACGAGGATAATGAAGAACCTGCAATGGATCCGGTGAAAGACTCACAAACACACTATTTCAGCTACAGTTACCAAAATCAGTCACATTCCGCGAAATCGAGAAGAAATGACATGCATCATAGAAATCAGGAGTACCCTTGGGATGAGGAGACTGTCGAAGACAATTTACCTTCGGGCGATGAGAACATGTTCAGTTTTCAGGACAGTGATGAAGAGCAGATGAAGATTGGCCCAAACGGCGGGCTCAGTGCTGAGGCGAAGGCCTCGATGAGTCTTCTTTTCCACCCAGAGTTGTATCAGACGAAGGTCATCTACGATGCGGAGGAGGACGCCTTCTCTTCGCACTACCTTCTAGGGAGAATTTCCGCCGCACTTGGAGAAGACGAAATCGCGGTTGACGCACACATATTATCTACGCCAGTGATCACCGACGTGGACAAAAATGGCGACTTGGACGTCATTGTGCACGTCAGCTACTTTTTTGACGACTCCGAATACCTGGGGGAGAGGCGGAATCTTCTTCCTAAGGGTATCGATCCTGACAATTACGTTGCCACCGCGGTGCTCTGCATCAATTTGGTAACGGGTGAGCTCAAATGGATCTATCCACTCGAGTTGACAAGCAAAAAGTCTACAAATCCTTCATATGCCTTAAGCACACCTCTCATTATCAACGCTGATCAGGATTCAGATCTGGAGATATTCATCACGACATCGACCGGACGCATAGTCAGGCTCTCGGCCGGGGGAAAACCCCTTCTTGACAACTGGTCTGCCACCGGGTTAGGATCTATCAGCGCCTCTCCCGCAGCGGAGGATGTTCAGGGCAGGGGTGAGCTCGGCATTTGCACGGGTGACATTGAGGGAACTGTTGCGTGTTTTACTCCTCGTGGAGATGTGATTTGGCGTCAGAATGTTATTGGGGGCCTTGCTGACCGCGTAAGCTTCGGTGATATTAACGGGGACGGATTTATGGATGTAGTCTTCGGCACGACTGAAGGGCTTATTTATGCTCTGGATGGCCGAGACGGACATGTTTTAAATCATTTTCCTGTTGTCACGGAGGGACCTATAATTTCCCCTGTGCTTCTGATGAATGTTAAGCAGGGTGATGTGCGTGGTGGACTGCACGTTATTGCTCCCTCTCATGACGGCAATCTCTATGTTGTCGATGCCATTAGTGGATGCATAGAGAGTTTTGATATGGATGAGAAATCTTCCACGATGGTGCTAGCCGATGATGTGACTGGAAATGGTCACATGGACTTGGTGGTCACTACCCTAGGGGGTGGTGTCTATGTTTTTGAAACGGAGAGCCTATTCCACCCCGCAAAGGTTTGGGCTAGCGAAACAAAAGGGGTCAATGGATATACCGCCAGCGAGAACTATGTGAGTATTTCTATTGATCCAGACTATCGCATTCCAAGGGATATTCGTGGCGATCGATTCAAACTCAAGTTTACCATTAAGGATCCCCGCATTGATATAGAGAAGAGACAATACACAGTATCAGTTTATGTTGGGTCCCGCGTTCGGTTATACCAAGGCACCTTTGACAAGCCCGGCACCTATACGATTGAAGTGTATGCACCTCTGGAGCGCATGTACTCTAGTTTGACCGTGGCTCTTAGTCTTCCCAATGGTCAAGTCCTTACGGACACAATAGCGTTGAGCTTCAACATCCATTTTTTAGAGACTGTCAAATACACCCTAGTCATCCCATTTCTTGTAACCGCCGCGGCCCTCATGTTCGTGCGCAAGCAGCACGCCGTAGAGTCCAACAGAGAGGAACTGTTTGTTTAATGGGGCGATGCATACAATGGATGTGCGAAAGGGAGAACTGTTAGCGCCCACATTAGAGGAGGGGAAAGTGGTACATGAAGGAACACACCGTACTGAGGAGCGCTGTGCTCTGATAAATTTCATTGCTCATATGAATACTCAATGCTCCGTGGTACGATTCTTCCGCTAAAGTAGGACCTAGTGATCGCCTAGTAAAGGTTAATTCAACACAAGCCACTGTCTTTATTCTATTCGTGAAGGTAAGTGGTGAATATCGGTGACTTTTTCTGTGCGTAAGAGGAGGGATATTCCATACTGTTTGAGCAGGCAGCTGTGTTTGTCTGTTTTCATTACTTAATTTGTCGTCGAGGTTGGGTTAATTACAAAGCCCGATGGGTTCATGAATGTAAAGGGTCATATTAATGGTATTTTCGTCCTTATATGTCCCGTGTAGACGCTAGCGATTCGATCTGAAAGTCGCTATTTTTTATTCCTCCTCATTCTGGGGTTTTGTTAGTGCATTAGGATTCGAATAAAGTTCATTCGTAGCCCCAGTTTGGTCCTAGAACCGTAGATGAACAAACCTTTGGCCCTTGGGATTGAGGGAAGTGCAAACAAGGTGGGTGTGGGCATTGTGGATGCCCGTGGTCAGGTTCTCTCGAATGTTCGCGAGACTTATATTACCCCTTCTGGTACTGGCTTCCTTCCACGGGAAACGGCCATTCACCACTCCAGCCACATTCTTAGACTTGTGCAACGCGCGTTGGATGATGCCCACGTGCGGCCCCACGACATTAATGTAATCTGCTACACCAAGGGGCCTGGGATGGGTGCTCCGCTCTCGGTGTGCTGCACGGTTGCCAAGACTCTTTCTCTCCTGTGGCGATGCCCCTTGGTTGGGGTAAATCACTGCATAGGTCATATTGAAATGGGTCGCGTCGTCACAGGGAGTGTGAATCCGGTTATTCTCTACGTGAGTGGGGGAAACACTCAAGTTATCGCCTACGCCGACCATTACTACCGCATTTTCGGTGAGACAATTGATATAGCTGTGGGGAACTGTTTGGACCGTGTGGCGCGGTTGTTGCAGCTTTCCAATGATCCTGCACCCGGGTTCAATATTGAACAAAAAGCCAAAGAGGGAAAGGTTTTTATTGAACTGCCTTACGTCGTGAAGGGTATGGACATGTCCTTCAGCGGGATTCTCTCCTATGTGGAACTTCTTTTACACCATCCCCAATTTGCTGAAAAGCACCTTGCGGAGGCCTCAATGTCGTCTGCACGAAAACGTGGCCGGCACATCCCCACAATTCAGTTAGAAATAACTGAGATGTTCCGTTCTGAGGACATTTGCTTTTCTCTACAAGAGACCATTTTTGCAATGTTAGTTGAGGTAACTGAGCGGGCCATGTCGCAGGTCCAGTCGTCCGATGTACTGATAGTTGGCGGCGTTGGATGCAATATGCGCTTACAGGAAATGATGCGGCAAATGGCTCAGGAACGAAATGGCCGCTGCTTTGACATGGATCAACGTTATTGTATCGATAATGGGTGCATGATCGCCTATGCTGGTCTTTTGGAATACTGTACTGGCGTTCGCACTGCCATTCCTGATGCAACGATCACGCAAAGATTTCGAACAGATGCGGTGTACATTGGGTGGCGTGACTAAGAGAATGAAGGAGGGAGACACCTGGGGCTGATTAGAAGTAGAGTTTGTAGGCTTTTTTTTTTTTTGAACACCTTTCGGTGGTGTAGGAGATGTTCGTAAAGTAAACCATATGCGATTTCTTCATTTTTTATCCAGTGACTTCTTTTCACTTTTTTATACCCTTTCGTCCAAGCAAGCTGGTTATTCTTGCTTATGAATAATAAGTTTAACCCTTTCAAAATCAATAGCTAGTCTTCGATATGCCATCTAAAAGAAAAGATTCGACGTGGATAAGAAACCACCCACTCGAAGGAGACAACATCATCTCTGGATTTTACAATTTTCTTGCGAAACGTAATCCGAAAACACTGAAGCCATGCAGGGGTATTTTTGTGCCAGATACCGTTGTGTTTGAGCGTAACTTTCCCCGGGGGTGGTATACAACAGATATCAAGGAGTGCGAGGTGATGCGGAGACAAGGCAGGGATCTTGATGCATCTACAATCATTAAAGGTTTCACTGCGAACGTACCACTCACCTGCCCTATTGTTGCTACCTACTTGTGTAGGTGTGAAAAGACTCTGGAAAACGGTGAAATTGAGATGAGCACGCAGGTGGAAGTTTTCAACAAGAACACCATCGCCGATTTTCTTGCGAGCAAAAAGAAGGGTGAGGGGATACTGCAAAAGTTCGTCATGCCCAAGGGCTATCACAATAGCGTGATACAGGTAGTGTGGAGTCCACGTGTGTGCATGGTGCAACGCCGCACAAACAAATTCACTGTGACTGACAAGAAGCGAGCAGATGTGGATCCCTTTGCGTCGACCGTTACCTATGAGGGACCTCCCCATCTTAGTGAGGTTGCAACAGTCTCTGGTAACGTTGCTCTGACCATTAAAAAACTGTGTGGGAACATTGTGCAGCATTTTTACTACACGGAGCACAAGTTCATTACTAGAATGGTTCTCTACTTCAAGTCAGACAAGCACGATCGGTTGTGGTTTTTGTGGTGCGGGTCGTTCAGAACATCCGATCGCAATGCTTCTAGCGAGATGCCTCTTAGTCTAGGCACTAACTTCACTGAACCAGAAGACATCACTAGCTTCAACGAGGATAAGCTCTTGTTCGATGCTGATAGCTCTTACTTACGTGTCACAAATGATGAGATGTTTTATGAAATGTACATGAAGAATGTGCCCTTGATAACTTCCTGCGAGGAGGAAAAGGATATCGCCTCTTTACATTCCAAACTACTTACCGAGGAGATTAACGGTCAGGAAGGAGGTGAGGATGTGAACACCAACATCAACAACTCGTCGTTTAGTTCTCATCTTGTGCAGGAGGCACTTGATCAAATTTCATATCAGAAGGCAAGCACATTAGCTTTTTTTGAGGACCTCTTTTACCAGGCTCGCAATCATTTCTTGACACTTCGAAATGAGCCATTTGTATTTTCAATACCATCCAAAATTGTAAGCGCTCTTACAGAGGGTTTCATTATTGAACTTATGGCAATGCTGCATCTAACTCCGAAACAGGTCACAGCGGGGGATGAACAGCATCGATATGAGATTGACCCGGTACTCAAAACCCCCATTACAAAACTTCTAGATGATTCTATAAATTGTATCAATACATTTTATGCAGGGAGGATAGACAAGCTGAAGGGGGCCA